GGGGAGGGAAATGTGAAGGGAAGGGGAGGGGAAGGAAGGGAAGAATTCAAGAACATCATCTCAGCTAAGACTGGAGGGAAAAAGAGAAAATGTACCTGAGAATTAACTACTACTTTCAAACCTCTCTGTGGCTTGCATTTCTTTCCCTCCACGGCATGCTCCTGGCTTTCTTAGTATCTCTTCAAGCGAAGCACGTTGGCCTCCACTGCAGAGGCCTCATCCTGTCCAGGCTCTCCCATGCCCCATCAGCCCCCTAGCGCCCATCCACTGAGCACTGCGGCTTTGGACTCTATGAGCCCCTCCTTCTGAGGCACCCACCTTTGACAGGTATCCAAAAGTTTTCTCCCTGTCCCCTGCTAGGTCCCAGTGGTCGGGGGCACCCAGAACCATGGAGAAAAAAGGAAAGGTCAGGAAGGTCTAGACTTTGTCTCCCGCCACTCCTAGCAGCCCGACTACCTCCCAAGTGACTGGAAATCAATGGAGTCTGAACCAACTGCTGCTTGACAGTGCATGCCACCCAGGGTTCTGCACCAGGGCCAGGATGAAGCTGGGAATTCATAACTGTGAGTGATTATCATGGAAACTGTCTCCAGGAAAAACGACCAGGTCTTTACTATTCAACCTTGGGAAGATAAAATCAGGCCTAGCAGGGAAAAAGAAGGAAAAAAAAGACAAATGATCTAAAGAGTAAATGCAGGATTGAAAAGCAAAGAGCGTCTTGGGGCCTGAAGATACACCTGCCTCATCTCCCTGTCCCCGGAAACAAGAGATGGAAAAGGGGAGGCGGGATCTCCATCTACTCAGAATCCTGTGCTCATCCCATACTCTCCTCAACACCTCCAGGCCTGAACCAGTCCTCCATCGAGTCTGCCTCTCTTTAGGCCTCTGCTCTGCCCCCACTGTGTGGCCTGTTGAGACCCTCCCTGTGTGTCTCGCTACAATCCCCTTTCCGCTTTCTCCCCCCAGCAACACCCCATTGGCCCCCACCCTACCCTGCTAGGAAACCCCAGAAAAACAGAAACCTCCGCATTGCCCTAGTAAGATCGTCAGTGAATAAGAATGGCAAAATATGTGCCCCTGTTCAGGTTGAGTGGTGGAAACGCGGATGGGGGGTTATTTAATTGCTCTCATTAGATTTGCGTGTTTCAAGTTGTCCATAACAAAATAGATCTTCTGCAGGGATCTCAAAGCATGAAGCCCAAAGTCCTCCGATTGGCATTCGAGACCCCTCAGCATCTGCCTCTGCCCCAGCAGACTGCAACCTCTCTGTCTTCCCAGCTCTGGCCTGCAGCTCACTTCTGCAGCCCTACTCTGTGCACGCACCTCCTTCTCCCAGAACACCCTTCTCCTACTGTCCGGCCTAGAAGGCGCTTCCTCATCCCTTGGGAAGCCGACGTAAGAGACCCCTGGTCCGGGACACTTGGGCAGACCCTTCCCTGTGCTGGGGTATAGGGTAGGGCTGCGAGAGGGTGCCTTGCGCCCTGGTGCCTTCCCAGGTCTGATATATGCCAAGCACCCAAGACATATTTGAGAGAGGCCAGAATGTCTTAGTGCAATGTTTACTTAAACTTGGACACGAAGTAGGGTAATTTCTTTAGGCTTCTGCTCCTGTCTTTATAAAATGAAGATGTTAGCTATACTTATAAGGCTGGGGAAGCAGTAAGGATTCCGTTGTTGTATCCTCTACGTAAACAGGTTAAGGAGAGAGAACGAGACTGACTTTAAGACAGGCACACTTCAATCAAATCACACAGTGGAGAATAACGCAGCTTGTCATCTATGCAATGCTCCCCAAAGCTACAGGAAAGACACTGCTCTTTAACTCTTCCTGGGAGCTGGGGGAATTCATGGAAAATCGTTGACGCTAGTCACACTTCTTTTGCGCCAGGGACAGTTCGTACTTCCGGGGGTCTTCAGCAGTCAAGGCCAGAGTGCAAACTCTCTCTTTGAAAGGTGTGTGCAGCTCGGTGGCCGCAACCCGGGCCCAAAACCCGGGGTAGCAGTGCACGGGGGGATTGCAAAAATCAGCCCGGGTGACAATCCCCACCCAGTGAGGTCTTGTTGAGTTTGGGGCGCCTGGGGTGGGACGGAGGGCGAGAACATCGGACGGGATCCACCGCAGCGCCACCTCCGCCGCTGCCGCCGCCCCCGCCAGCCCCGCTCCTCCGGGCGCCCGTGGCCTCGTGCGTCACCGGCGCGGGCGGGGGCCGAGCGGAGGGGGGCGCCGCAAGGTGAGGGCACCGCGCCGCCTTAAGACGCCGCGCGCCTCCGCAGCCGCTCAGAGCTCTCAGCGCCGAGCGCGGGTCGGACGAGCGGGCACAGGCGCTGTGTCCCGCTCCCGCCGCCCGGTGTGAGCGAGCTCCCAGCCTCCGGCACCTGGAGCGGCGCCCCGGACCAGCCGGGCGAGCCCCGAGGGACGCAGCGCGACGGCGTCGGCAGCAACAGGTAAGCCAGCGGCTCGCTCGGCTCTCCTCCAGCCGCCGCGGCCCCGTGCGCACACAGCCCTGAGCCCCGGCCCCGCGGATGCCCCGTCTGCAGCAGCCCGACGGCGGAGACTCCGCGCGGCTGCCCCGGCCCCCTGGCCTCCGCCCGGCTGCCACCTTCGCGGGGTCCCTCGCACTTTCTCTCGTGCGCCCCTCCAATTCCCCGGGTTTTTCCTTATCCTTCCTCTGTCGCTGCTCCCCACCGGCTTTTTAAATTCTGTTTCTTGCTTTTTCTGTCTCTCCTGGTCAGTCCCGCGGGGTCTCTTCACGTCTGTCTCTCTTTCTCCCCTGCTCTCTGCCTATCTCCCACACTGGCGCACTTGTTTGTTCTCTCTCACTGTCTCTCGCTTTCTCTATGTCTCTCACTCTTTCTCTGTCCCTCATTCTCTTTCGGTCCCTGTGTCCCTCTCCCCCTCGAAGACTCTCCCCACCAGCGGCACCCGTGCCTCCTCTGTCGTCTTCCCCAATCCCCCACCCCGCGCCGCAGCGGACGCGGAGCGGGGTGAGAGGGGGACGACGAATTTGGGGTGAGGGGGATCGGGCATCCTCCTCCCACCGCCCCATGTCCACTGCCGAAAAACTAGACGCTGTATCCGTCCGAGCCCACGGTGGCCACAGGGGCCTCTGGTTTTCATGGCAAAATAAAGACCACAAAAGAGACCCAAAGAGACAGAGATCATCCGAGCAAAACCGAGGTGAGGGGCCGTGGGAGAAAGGTGGAGAGCGACGGAGACGCGCGCGCTCGCGCACTCAGAGATGGATGGGACAGAGTACAGCAAGTGTCCCAAGGTGAGAGAGTGAGAGACAGAAAAACCAAAAGCAGGGAGTGCACATGCCAGAGAGACAGCGTGAGAAGCAGGGAGCCAGAGACCGGTGAGAATAACAGAAGCGCGTTAGAGACCAGGGGAGAGAGATGACAACGCCAAAGCGGCACCTAGAACTCGGGCTCCTGGGCTAAAAAAGCACACAGGGGAGACCGGGAGAGGTACAGAGAGGAGGGTCCGAGACAGATCGGGGCCGAGCGAGAGAGAGAGAGAGAGAGAGAGAGAGAGAGAGAGAGGCAGACATCAGCAGACCAGACACTCCTACAGCTAGTGGTGCCCAGCAGGTGTGCGAGGGACCCTCGGAGATGGATGGCTGTCGGGGCAATCCACTGAGATAGGGATGGAGAGGTGTGAGACAGTATCTATGAGAGAGAGAAGGGGGGGGGGAGAACACAACACTAGGGAGAGCAGCCCAAAGGTGCGGGGGCCGAGTCACACACCCAGAGACTGGGAGGGAAACGGGAGGAGGCGCACGCACAGAGCTCCCGAGAAAGTGCGCTGGTGAAAGAGAGAAGACTGAGAGACAGAAGCTGCGGGAGGGCGGTGGGAGTGACGGGCGCGAGGATGGCGACGCCCAGGGGAGGGGGCAGACTGCGCACGTGCTGGTGGTGAGAAACAGAAACAGACCCGGTGGGCCTTGAGAGGCTAGAGAGAAAGCGGTGGAGGAAACCAGAGACACGCACTCCTAGAGACAGAAAGTGCCCTTGCGAGACACTGGAGAGAGACAGAGACCTGTTCTAGTAAGCAGGCATGTGCGAGAGTGCACGCACATGTGCCAGTGAGAGGGCTAGCCAAAGACCAAAACTCTGACTCCAGACACAGTGTGGCAGATGCCTGGGAGGGTGAGCACACACTAGCAGGAGAGACAGACGGGAGAATCAGGGACCCGCGGAGAGAAAGGCAGAGACACGGAGAGCCCAAGAAACTGCCTGGGCTGGGCTGCGACTGCGCAGGGGTGCGAGGGAGGGGTCCTGCAGCCGTGCTGCTGGGCTGGGCGCCCCAGGCTTCTCCTCCGCGGGACTAACCCCGCCCACGTGTTTCTCTCATCCCCAGCATAGACACTGCCTGCGGTCTGCCCGCCATCGCCATGGCACCCACCTGCACCAACAGCACGCAGGAGAACAACGGCACCCAGGCGTGCATACCCCTTTCCAAAATGCCCATCAGCCTGGCTCACGGCATCATCCGGTCTACCGTGCTGCTCATCTTCCTGGCCATCTCCTTCTTCGGCAACATAGTCCTGGCGTTTGTGTTGCAGCGCAAGCCGAAGCTGCTGCAGGTGACCAACCGCTTCATCTTTAACCTCCTCATCACCGACCTGCTGCAGGTTGCTCTCGTGGCCCCCTGGGTCGTGGCCACCTCCATGCCTTTCTTCTGGCCCCTCAACAGCCACTTCTGCACTGCCCTAGTTAGCCTCACTCACCTGTTCGCCTTCGCCAGTGTCAACACCATTGTCGTGGTGTCCATAGATCGCTACCTGGCCATCATCCACCCTCTCTCCTACCCATCCAAGATGACCCAGCGCCGTGGTTACATGCTCCTCTATGGCACCTGGATCCTGGCCTTCCTGCAGAGCACACCCCCACTCTATGGCTGGGGCCAGGCTGGTTTCGATGAGCGCAATGCCCTCTGCTCCATGATCTGGGGGTCCAGCCCCACCTACACGATTGTCAGCGTGGTGTCCTTCATCATCATCCCCCTGGTTGTCATGGTCGCCTGCTACTCCGTGGTGTTCGGCGCGGCCCAGCGGCAGCATGCCCTCCTGTACAAAGTCAAGAGCCACAGCTTGGAGGTGCGGGTCAAGGACCGTGTGGAGAATGAGCATGAAGAGGGAGCAGAAAAGGATAAGATCCAGGATGAGAGCGAGTTCAATGGCCAGGATGAAGGTGAGGTCAAGGCCAAGGAGGGCAACTCAGAGACAGAAGAGGACCCCCTGGAAGCCAAGGACGGCAGCATGAAGGGGAAGGAAGGAAGCCTGCAGATGAGTGAGTGTATCCTGGTGGCCAAGGGCATCGAGGAGGTCAGTGTTGGGAACGAGGAAGGTAAGAAAGGTGGTGCTGAAGCAAAGGAGAGCAGCGCAAAGGCAAACAAGGGGCGCGCAGAGGTCAATCAGTGCAGCATCGACTTGGGCGAAGACGACATAGAGTTTGCTGAGGATGACATCCATTTCAGGGAGGGTGACGTCGAAGCCGTGAACATCCCAGAAAACCTCCTGCCCAGTCGTCAGGACAGCACCACCCACCCTCCTCTGCCCAGGTGCTATGAGTGCAAGGCTGCTAAAGTGATCTTCCTCATCATTTTCTCCTATGTGCTGTCCCTGGGGCCCTACTGCTTCCTGGCAGTCCTGGCCGTGTGGGTGGATGTCCAAACCAAGGTACCTCAGTGGGTGATCACAGTAATAATCTGGCTTTTCTTCCTGCAGTGCTGTATTCATCCCTACATCTATGGGTACATGCACAAGACCATCAAGAAGGAAATCCAGGAAATGCTGAAGAAGTTATTCTGCAAGAAGAAGCCTCTAAGAGAAGAAGGTAGCCACCCGGATGTACCCGGAACCGAAGCAGGTTCAGAGAGGGGAACTGAAGGCAAGATTGTCCCCTCCCACGATTCTGCTACTTTGCCTTGAAGTTAGTGCTAATGCAAACCTTGCACTGTCCATGAGACAGAAAACAAGACCAGCTTTCTTTTCCGTGGATCACCCACACTCCCATTAATGCCAACCCATACCATTTCAGGCAAAGGCATTGCACACAAATCCTTTCTCACCACAAGGTAGATAAATGCTTGGAGAATTTGGGAACTGGGTTCTTCCCTTAAAGGTGTGCCCCTCAAAGCATGGACTTGAGGATTCTGACTGAAAATTTACCCCCAGAAAATTATTAGGCTCTAAATTTCTTAAAGCAACAAGGGCTACTATTTGGGACCTAAGCTTGGTATTCTGCCCTTCTCCCCAGAGCTGCAACATGCTAGCTTTAGCTCTGAAGGAAAGGGAAGATGATAGCTGTGACTTAAAGACTATTTGGCCCTCGGGTCAGGAGCTTAGTTTATGTTCAAGTGAAGGAAAAGCAATGGACCAAATCATCCACAGAGCCCAAGATGCAGATCTTGATGGACTGATCAGCAGCGTATGAGCCAAACTCTGAACTGGTGCAGAGACTGTCATGCAAATTAAGATAAAAGGCATTGTGCAGTTAGAATACCAGGAACGTTTCTAGATCCCCTAAAAGGATGGAGAAATGTGGAAGGACATGTATGAAATGGGAAGCTACTATGGAGAACACATCCTTGGGGCTAAGCAGTTGGGTTTTTTCCTCTAAAATCCTGGGTTGCGCATGGGGTAGGATTGAGCTCTCTCCATGAAAGTGGAAAATTGTCAATGGACACTAAAATCATTTCCATCTCCTATTTGAATAATAGTGAGACAGAAATCATGCAACTAGTTTCCAATTTCCCCTTCGTGACTGAATCAGTATACTCATAAGAATGCTCCAGTTCTCTTTCAATCACTTGTTTTGCTCTGTTTTATTTCAGATAAACCTTTTTGCTCAAACAGTATTTCCAGGAAAAAAAGAAATTCAACTAGGAGTGGTCAAAGTTCTGCAAAACTCACACTGCCAATCAAGAGATATGTCTATCAGAAATCTCTTTTGTGTTCCTGAATTCCTAGGCAAGAAATAGGATCTCCACATGGGGACAAGTAAGGCAGGATGAACATTTTCCTTCCTCCAGCAATACTCACGTGTCTTTTCAGCCCATAGCTCTCTCTAAAGCTTTTAAACTTTCTTCAGAGAAGGGAAAGAAATGTTAGATAGTCAGAAATGACAGGATGGCTTTATAATACCTGGAAAACATCTGACCTACTCCAAACAATCCAAAAAATCAAAGCATTCGGGTCAGACATATCCTAATTATTGCTGATGAAATGTATCTCTTCGGGGAAACCTTTGTACTATCTAAATTATCCCTAGAGTAAATACAGAGAAAGATTTTTCAAACCTGAAATCACTTTGGGCAAGGATATACCTATTTCAGAAGGTACAGACCAAATAAGAGGGAGCCAAAAAATGGTTAAGCCAGTGGTTTTGATCCTCCTGAGATCCAAATTAAAGCAACTCTGCAGCCAACTAACTATCCATGCAAAAATGCACTGTTATGGGTGGAGGGAGTGAATGGAGTATTTAGTTGAACAAAATGGTTAACCAGCTGGTTTTGTATAAGCCTGGCCATACTCAGAGTTTAGCCTCATTCTAGTGTCATTGCTATGTCTTTATGAAGACTCAGATTTTCATTTATATAAATGTCCAGCTCATATATATTTCTGTTTATCTCTTCCTCCTCACAGATTCCAACGTGAGTTTCTCAAGGGGTAGATGTAAACAGTGGTGTATTTGGGCTATGAGTATGTCTGGATGGGAACTTGGGATTATTATATTCAGAATGTAGGAGAGGGCATAGAACCAAACAATATCCAGTTGACCTGTCAAATCAATATGCCCATGGAAACGCTATGCATTCCAACTCCTTGAATTTGGACCCTATGGTAATTCAAACAAGGCATTTGGGCTGAAGTTCAGACTCACAAATCATTTATCTTTCTACCAAAATTTGTAAAGCAAGTGAATAGTCATAAATTTATTATACCAATGTATTGCCGGACTCTTGCAGTGACCTGTCCTTAAGGGATACCCAGGTGCAGAAATGACAGAAACGGCGTATGTGATCAGTCCTCTTTTGGAGGATTGCAAGACTGTAATGGTCAAAGGAGCTCAAGTTAGCTATAGCCTGTCCTTTTAGTGGAAATTGTTATTGGGCAGGAAAAGGGATTTCAAGCATAACTGTTTCCAACATTTTGTTAAAACTGAACTTCTTGTTTTATTTTTAAAGCTCACTCCCTTCAAAGTGTATCAGAGAACACTGTTTGCCCAAATCCCAAATCCAAATGGAACCAGAGCCTGTGCAAGTGTGGTAAGTCCATCGAACGGCAAACATAACATTCTCTAGGGTGCCGAGACTCACCAGTTCCTTCTAAAGTTTCCCTTTTACCTATTTTAGTTTCTGTCCATTCTTTTGGCAAATTGGATTCCTCAAAGGTGAAGACCTTTTGAAAATAAGATGCTGGAAAAGAGGACTTTTGAATTAAGGGGATTCTGCTTTGGTGACACGTTCTTCTTACTGAACAATATGGCCATAGCTTGGAGATAGCAACCGCTTCAAATTTTTTTGCTGTTTTGAATAAAGCACTATCAACTTAATGAGGTTTTACTGCACATACTGTTTTGCCATTTGAAAATCTGAAAGCACACACACACAAAGGCATCATTAGCTTCACAGTTGCTTTCCCTAAATGTTTTTAAAGGATGTATTCTTTGGCCAAGGCCACTTCATATGTGCAGTAAAAACTCCCATTAAAGTACAGAGGCCAGACAAACCAGACTTTGAAATGATGTGATTTTAAATGGAATGATTTCCTTACTTAAGAACAATAGGGCATCTAGTTTGCCAAGGAGTCACAGGTGCCTTGACTAACACACCAATTTCAACAAGCTTGGAAAAGCAGTAGCAAGGAGCAAGCCCTGGGCTTCTGTGACTTGGGTGACGTGAGGGCCCTTCTTCGTAAGACACCACACATACCAGCTGCTGGCAAGTCCTGTGCACTTCCAGCTCCCTGCCTGCCTTTTGCCTTCCTGCCCACCAACTTCACCTACTCACCCCCTGCCCCTGCTGTGCTGGCCCTTCACGGATGCCTGTGCCTGAAACTCTGTGTGCTCATCCACTCCCCATGCATCCCTTCCAAACCCAAAGCTATGAGACTCACAGGGACCTGGGGCCCATGGAAGCAGAAAGAAATGAGCCATAGGAGTGACCAGCAATTTGAGGTACTTTTTGTCTGCCCAACTCCAATCCAATTTAGAGATGACTCGATACCCACTTCAAATTCAACCGGTAAGGAAAAGTGCCATTTCATGATTTTGGAAGAGCTAGGCACCTTATTTCTAAAACACACCCTATGCGACACACTTTGAGAGCATAGTCGGTTCTGTGATATCATCTAATTGTTTCAACAAAAACAAACAAAAATCTTTTACCTATAAAATTATAAGGTGGCTGACATTGCCTTATTTTGTACATGATTAGCCAATTAAGCTAGGTAAAGTTGCTTCGGAAGAATTTTTCATACTACCTGAAAAAATTTACATGATTAAAATAGGCTTTCTTAGACTTTGCCAAAAATCTCTTAAAAGTGAAACACACCATTTGGAGGAGAAAAAAGTATTCATCCTCTGGTAATTTGAAATCTCGAAGATAAAACACTTGGAATCGTTGGGGTGAAGCAGTAACCTACTGAACTGTAATTTTTCCCTCTTAACTACCCTCTCACATATTTTAAGGGAAAAAAATCCACTTCATAATGTGTTTTCTGTTGTATTTCTCTTGAAGACAAACCCCAGGTTGTCAGGAGAGGTTTCTCCAAGCAAAATGTCTTTTCCTTCTAAAGCAGAGAATTAAAGGATGAGTTGGCTGCTAGCCAGGGACCAAGATAAGGAGAGAAAGTATGGCTTTTAACTCTCTTCCTCCTTATCTCTCTCTCGTTTTCTATGGACTGGAACTGGATCGGTGCGCTTGGCCGCTCAAAGCCCCTCCAAGCTTAGGCATGAAGAGACAGAGGCATGAGCGGTAAAAGCAGACCATGGTCTAAAACTCCCAAAAAAGGCAAACCTTTGTCATACACTCTTTCCAATTCTATATAGTCTCTTCCTCTCTGGCAGATGCCCAGCTTGCTTATAGCACGTTTTCTGCTATAAGCAACAAAACTGGCTAGAGGAATAAATAGGAAAGCTAAAATCCTCTGAACTTGGCCACTGACTGCCATGCCACTGGCCAGTTCACTACTCTTTGATAAGTAGGACAAGAATCCTCAAGACAAACGGAAGTTGCCAATAGGAGTTAGATATTTCCATCATTGCCTCTCAAAGCCTCCATATCTCAGAGTATACACACCAAGGGGAAACCACAGTAACTTGTACACTCATAGGTTTGCTATGTCAGGATTCATTCCTGTATCTCTAAAACATAGTCAAAAACAAGGTTGGTTTTAGTTCGGTGCTTCAAACATGAGTGGCTTTCCCTCCCTCCCCCCTTCATCTGTGTTACAACTTTTAATGTTAAAAGTTTGGTATTTTTGTCCTGTTTCAGTGATGTGAAACTTTTGTAGTAATTCTTCTAAATGTAAGCTCTAACTGTATATAAAGTGTAAGTGTTCTTGGAGATAAGGTGCTAGGTACTAGATTGTGTGTGTGTTCATAGATGGTGTCATTCTAAAAAAATAAGTAGTATGTACATGTGAAGTTAGTTAATTAAGTGCATGCAGATTCTTTGTGTGGCCAACACCTTGGTCAGTTTCTGAAATAGAACATAGTATATTTGTTTTTAAAAAATATTATTTTTAAAGTGTATACTATAAGATATGTAAGATGGCTCGAAAGTGAGCTAGCAGGAAGTGGTGCCTTTCATCCCTTAAATCCCTGGTACAGCGTATGACAGGCAGAAACTTATTCTGGTATGACTGGTCATTAATGTGAACCTATCATCTTGGCTGAAGACCTCCCTGGCAGTTCTCCACGACACGCCTGGCACCTGTATGCCTGGTTTCCATGAACTGAATGTATAGAATGCAAACTCAAAGAAGACAATCCTTTCCCTGTCAAGAAGCAAGGACTTCTGGATAGACTGTCGGAGTCCTCTTAGCAGGATGAAAAGAATGCTGCACTTTCAAGACCCAGCCTGTAGCCAGGACCTGACTGTGAAGTGACAGGATTTGCACTTAAGCAGATCCACATTGTGACTATCCTGCCCTCCCAGAGCAGTCCCAAAACCCAGAAAAGGGCTGCTCTTTTTTCCCTCTGCTTGGTTGTCTGGGAGACAACAATAGGGCATGGAGGGGTGACTCCCATGACTCTTCTGAGGGTTGTGGCTGAGGCATTTGAGAATTCTAATTGCAGATCAGTGGTATTTGCAACAGACAAAAGAGAACTATGAGATAATTTTATTATATTTTGAGAACAAAAATATTAACATGAGAAGACTATATTATATATACACCCTTATTAAATCATTAAACTGCCTTTAATAACAAATTTTATGTGCTACTTTGAAACAGACTAGAAAAAATACATTCAGACAATAGAAGTTCTCTTTAATACTTTACATTTTAAATTTAAACATTTCCTTTTAAAAAAGTATTTGTAATTTAAAAGTGCCTTTTTAAAGGATTGTCAAACTCCAATCCTGGGGCCAAGTTCCCATTGGCACAGCTTACCTTCAGGTGCACAAAGGGAGTGGACTTCATCCTCCTCTCAGAAAGAAGAGAAACCCCATCACACCCCAGTCAAATCTGATTTGTGACTCTATACCTGGGCTGGTAGCCCCAGAGACTATGCCCAAGGCTGAGGTTTCATATATTGATTGACTTTAGTTAGATCCTTTCTAAAATGGTTAAATGCATTTTTTTGTTGGACAGGAATAACGGACTCCTGCTTGGACAATGCAGAGATCTATGTTTGTGATTTAACTAAGTATTATTTAGTAATCTTTGTGTTTCTTAAATAGGTGCTGTAAATTGTCATTGGTATATTCTTCATAAACATGCTAAATAAAGTCTAATTTTGTGTGTGAATCTGGTTACTATGCCAAGCTTCTTGAGACCACAGTGAGGGAAACCCATGAGTAGTTTCCCATCCCTTCTCTTTTGCTCGAATGGAGAAGGCAGAAGAGAAAGGACTTGAATATATAGGCTCCCATATTTCATATTCCAATGTAGGGAATACACAGTGGGATGGCGGGGTGGGCATCGGGAGGGCTTGCTGAAAGAGGAGCATTAGCCTGGTCCTCTACAAAAAGGACTTCAAAGTGAGGGTGGGGATGGCAGAGAAGGAGCATGGAGTAAGATGATCGTGTGAGCAGGAGGGGGAGCCTTTGTTTTAGGAAAGAGTACTACCCCATCATCTTCGCTGGCCCTGCCGCCTACTACTCCAGCCCAGGACACTTCCCTCAGCACACCTCAGCTCAACCTGGCCTCGACCCCCACACTCACCTCAGTTCTACTCCTCTCAGCAGGGTTTATAGACCAGAAGAGCAGGAATGTGTCCCCATAAGCCCTGCTTCCATAGAAGTTATACACTGAATGCAGCCACAACATATGAAAATGCAGTATACAGAAGAGATGGGCAAATATGTCTAACATTTAAGAGCCCCTAGTTCTTTCTGAGTTGAAATACTTGACCTACTAGTAGCTCCTCCTCTGTTACTCTCATCCGTAGTGGTGCAAGGAACAGCACACCTCATGCTTCCAAAGTGGTATTCATGGACCCAAGCTAGGAGGCTCAGGGAGCTACTCAGCCCCATTACAATCAAAGTAAAGTGCTCTTCTTCACTTTTCACTCCAAAACCAAGCTAAATAGCAACTTACACACACTTTCAACATGTTCAAAGATGGCTGCCATGACACTTGTGTGTGGCTGCCTTCGTCTTAATCCATAAATGCCATCCAAACACTTTCTTCTGCTGCAGAAATAAACTGGCCTCTCTAGCAAGGGCTACTATCGTGCAAATAAATGGGCTTCGGAGCTCAGATAAAACTATCAGGCAGCGAACCTGGAGGGAAAAAAAGAGTTCCCTGAAGCTCAATATATCCCACTGCTTAGTCCAGAGAATTTGGAGGGGAATGGAATGGGTTCCAATGGGACTCACAATAGCAGTTTCTCTCTCTCTTAGGCAGGGCTAAGGGCCCAGCCCTGTATTATGAGGCTGTGGAAGACATTTGAGAGGATCTGAAAATTCTGCTCTCAGGAGACTTTCTGTGACCTTCTGTAGCTACTTTTGCTTCCATGGCTCTACACCGGGCCCCAGGCCCATTTGCTATCACCCAGAGCCCTGGCCCTTCCAATACAGGCAAAGGCCTATAGTGGTGAGTGAATTATTTTCTTCTATGAAGTAACTCGACAACTCTTACTTCCTCTCACACTTTCTGTCAGGATTCAACCCCATGACTCTTTCCCTCCTTATTCCAATCTGCCCTCCAAGGGCAACTGGATCTCTTTGAACCTGCACACAGAAACAAGTACTCCTCAGTTTTAGGGTAGCTTTGAGGATGTTCGTGAATTGAAGTTATGGGTAGACATTTTTCAAATGTTTTCCTATGTGAGACCAGTATTTGTCAATAAAATTCATCATAGAAAATGTACGATTTTAGAGCCAGGTGTGGTGGCACATGCCTGTAGTCCCAGAACTCAGGAGGCTGAGGCAGGAGGATTGCTGTGAGATTGAGGCCAGCCTGGGCTACATAGTGAGTTCAAAGCCAGCCTGGACTACATAGCGAGACCCTGTCTCAAAAAATGAAAAAAAAGGTACGATTTCATGCCTGCTCCCCACAAAACTGCAAAGCTGAAGAATATTTGCAATGCAAGTTGCCCACATTTTAGAAATTGTTGCACCTGACTATTTAGTCAAAGCAAATAAATCCAAGAAAATTGGCTCCAAAGATTTGTTGTCTACATACAACCATCTCAATCTTGAACATTAGCCTCCAAAGGACAGCAAACAGAAATAGACCACCAATAAACAGAGTGTGCAGGCTTAACTGAGGAGTAAGACATCAGCATCTGATATTTCAAAAACTCTGTTAAACCAATATACATTTTAAATGATTACCCACGTACAAAAGTATAATTTGTAGAATCTTCAGTTCAAAAGATGCCCATTTGATGTGAGATTTATTTGACAAGGGAACTATTTTTCTGATGGAGAAATTAGATGCTCTGAACATGAGGAAGGAAAAGGGAAAAAAAAAGGTTTTCATATGAAGAACCAGTGTACTCATCTTTAATTTTTTAAAAGAAATGTGCCTCCTTTTACACTGACTGCTCTAAATTAAACCCTTTGATCTTTTCAGAAAACTCTGACTTAGAAGAAATCTGTCTCCCAACCTGTTTTCTTCCATACAATCAATCATACAAACTGAGATGAGACAATGACATTTCACTTATGTATACTTGAAATGTATATAATTAGGAGCATACATATGTATCTCCAGAGATGCTCTTAGAGACATGTAGACATTCAAAAGCAAGGATGATGTGCCTGGGAGCATTTTGAGAAATTCTTTAATCCACACCACAATGTAGATTGTAGAAATAAGCCAGAAGCAAGAAAAAAAATCCACTTCTCCCTGAAACAAAATGAAAAAGATCTTTGTTAGCCAGACATCATAGTAAATCAAAGTAGCTTTCTTGAGAATACAAAGCATGTCACTCTTGAGCTGGGTTACTGCTATCCACATCTCAAAACTTGTGCATTATCAAATGAAAATCATTGTGCTTTTTCACTCGGCAAACAGGATGAGGAGCAGGGCCAGAGGCAGTCACCTGCAAATGGACATAAGAATCCACCTGAAGGAACTCTGCAGGTCTCTAACCAAAGCCAAAACCCAAAACTGCTTAATGTCTCCATTTCTTTTCTTTAAGACTGAAGTTTTATTGTGTAAATTTTAAAAGTTTTTATTAGTACATGTTTCCAGTACCTAATGATTGCATTCATCATGTAAAGTTGGTACATACATACAACATGTCTTCATTCTTTTTTCACCCCATTCCCTTCCTCTCCCTCCCCTTCTCTCCATCTCTTTGTCTCCTTTCTTCCTTTCAAAGAGGTCCACGGCTTGTTTTAATACAAGAAACTTCTTAAATGTAAATAACCATTATCATTATGTACACCAAAGAGGAGAATCATTTATTTATTTGTACACCTGTTACGGTTTGTGTTTAGATGTCCCTCCAAAACCTCATGCGGATGAGGTGGGACTTTCTTTGTCAGAGGTAGTTGAATCTGGAATGTGATGCTGGGGTTAAGGGCATGTGATTACTAAACCACTACCTGTGAGTGATTAGTTTGGCACCGCCCTAATCCCTGTAGTCTGAATGAGATAAAAGGGGCAGGAAGATGCTGATAAACTCTCTTGTTACCTTCGGTGCCTTGTGTGCACCATGTTATGTCTCCTCTGGGGGGCCTGTTTGCCATCCCTGCCTTGGAGCCAGCCAGTTATGGACTGAAACCTCTACGAAATGTGAGCCAAATTAAACCCCATTCCCTTCTTACTTTAAGTGTCGGGTCTTTCATCTCAGCAATGAGAGAAAAGTAACTAACACGGTAACCAAAGCATGCATTAGCGTCCTAAATAAAAATTTATATTATTAAGGTTAAAAAACATCTCTGGGGATTTATTCTAAAGAAATGATGCCACAGAAGAAAAAATTTACCTATGAAAATGTGATCATAATCCTATGATTTACAACATTAAATGACTACAAACGGGCCGGGGATTTAGCTCAGTGGTTCCAGCGCCTACCTCCCAAGCTCAAGGTCCCAAGTTCCACCCCCGGTGCCAAAAAATAAATAAGTAAATACATAAATAACTACAAACAAATCAAATAATCCCCAAATAGGTGACTAGATAAACAGATGTCTAAGTACTAAATGAAATTCTAAAGTCATCAAAATGACAAATATAAAGATTATATAGCAGCATGGACAATCTTTATGATATGATATGTTAGTTTAGAAGAGCCAGACCTTGAACAATTCTCAGCCATCACACCTGTGTGAACATTACATAAGCATAAATGTGTGGATTAGATAGAGCAGAGGATAGACAAAAGAAGATGTCTTTCTATTTTAGAGTGATGTAATCATGACCCAATTTTTCTTAAACATATGGCTTCACTGGTGTTCATATTATAAGAACATATATATTATTTCACATATATATTATTATAAGAACATATATTATTTCACATGATCTTAAGGTTCAGTGACTTAACTGAAGAAAATTCATAGGATTAGAAAGTCTAATAGGTACACTTGGAGACAATTCATCTAGGAAAACATCTTACTCAACATCAAGATCACAGGAAGTTTTAGGCACAGTTGTTGCCTTTTTCTTTAAATTAAGTTTATTGATAAAATTTAGATATACATAATGATCACATTCATCATATGGAATTTGTACCTGTACATGATATATCTTGATTCTTCTTTCCCCCTCGATTCCTTTTTTTCCCATTCCTCTTCCCTCCCTTCAACCCCTTTCCCTCCTTATTTACAAAAGATGTTTCCATTTTTCCATCTATTCTTTGCTTTTCCCTTTCTTCCTTTTCCCCCCTCCCCTCCCTAATGCCCCTTCTCATTTGAACTTTTTCTTCCTATTTCACATTATCTATTATATATTTTGGTCCTTTTTTTTTGTACCAGAGATTGAACTCGGGACCTTGTGCTTGTGAGGCAGGTGGAGGCACCATGAGCTAAATCCTCGGCCCTATTTTGGTCCTTTCTTATACTTTCAGTTTCTCACACCACAGAAACATGCAATATTAACATATGTGTGTCTGATTTATTTCTCTTAAGAGTATAGACTCTAGTTGCACCCATTTAGCTAAAAATGTCTCAAGTTTATCCTTCTTTATGGCTGAGTAGTACTCTAGTGTATAAAAAAACCCCACATCTTTATGCATTCATCAGTTGATGGGCATTTGGTCTGTTTCCAAGATTTAGCTATTACAAACTGTGCCACTATAAACATGGGTGTGCATGTATCTTTGTGGTATGATGCTTTTAATTCTTTTG